AGTACTGCTCCATCATAGTTGCAGAAACGAAAGACTATCTGCAACATCAAGTTCATAACACACCTGAGCCCATGCAAAGTTTGCAATAACACTACCATTTGCCAAGAATACTCTCAGGGGGTAAAACTGAAGTGTAACTATACACTAAATAACATTCAACCAACCACTTTGAAAAGAACCTTCCTTGAAGGAGTGTCAAAACAAAATGACATACAGGCTTGATATGCTTTTTTCTCAGCTTTCAAGGATATATATAAATATATATATTGTTTACAGAATGGCATCCTAGCTGCCAAATCTTCTGTTGGTCTGCAGCTACATTCAAAAAACCCTCCAGCCTGCTCCTAAATAATATATGCTCCTATGGCAACAGAGGTAAGGGTCTTGATGGAAGTGCTTGTGAGTGAACTATTGCATGTTGGGTGCACGGGAGGATAAGATGTCAGACCAGTACAGGTTCAGGTCATCTCAGTGTGAGGAGCCCAGCAAGAGTCCATGCCTCTGGCAGGCAGAGAGGCAAGGCTGCTGTCTGAGGCTAGCCTGTGATGGATTTAAACCGGGAAGTCCGTAGGCATCATGGGACCTTACCTTTCACTCACAAACTGCACACACACGCTCACACACAGCAAGCCCGACACAAAGTCAATCCTTCAGCGGGTGTTGTTCAATAATGCTCAGGGGAGGGTTGAGGGATGTCATCTTGAGAAAATAGGATTCCATCTTACAGAACGGAGGACTGGATCAGGCTGTCTACAAAAACACATCACTCGCTGACATAATGTGTCACGTCTCAATATGAAGATCGCACACTCAGTCTCACTTATTATATCGTAACGCTATCAGCTATGCTATCAGAGACGCCTGAAAAGAATGGTAAATGAACAATTTACCCTCCGGGGGGTTTAACTGGAAGTGCGAGGGTATTAAGCTGAATCTGAGCTCACGTTCACTCGGGAGAGGAATGAAATGTCGACAGGGTGTAACACTTGACAGATACATTTTTATTTTGGTTGCTTGTTGTTTACTCGCTAGTCTGTAGTCAGCTATGTAGAAAATGCAACACTCAAAATGTGTGAAATATTTACAACCAAAAATTTAATAACTGAAGTCAAATAAAGAGGAGAAGGGGGGGAACTGACAGTTGTTGCATCAACGGGGGAAAAACAGGCGTTTTGGGGTGGGTGTATCTGTTTGTGTTTTGTTTGATGTGCTGCAGTGAGACAAGACATGGATAACGAACAGCAGTGTTTAGAGAGGCGGCATGAAAGGAATTCATGTTACAGCAGGAAGAAGGGGGACGAGTCAAGGTCACACGCAAAAATGCTGTACATACAGAGGCTAACTGAAATTACACCTTTTACAATATTTTCTTTATTAACCTATAAAATAATCGATTTTTTTTCTTGCCATTTTCCCCGAAACACAGGCGTTGTTAATTGTACCCCAGTGCATGTTGCTGTTGAGCCCACCATGCCCGGAGAGAATCTAGACTACAGTGAGCCTCCACTGATACCTAACCAAATACAGTTGCACCCCAGTCCACATAAAAACACTACAGGACGGGCTATATTTGGAATATGGATGGTCTAGAGATGAAGGTCTAATCAGCCAGTAACCAAGAACACCTCTGATGGCGTATAGGGCCTTTAAACTCTTGTATTTGTGGTCTACATACTACAGCTACATAGTTGTCCACTCATGGCAATAATGACAAACTGCTCGTTACTCACATCCCACAACTTCACAAAAAAGTTTTGATATCTGACTAACAAGCTCTATGCTGCTGACAGCTCTGCACACCGGCTGCTTAGCTAATGCTAACTGCAGACAAACTGGATGAGTATGTTCCCAGTTCCTGCAGGTCACAATTCAGAGCTTTTAAAGGTGACAAGCTTAAAACAATGACATGATGTGCTTTAAACTGGAACATTCTGACTACTGCTCCCTAACCACCAGCTGTCAGTTATTTACACAAACGAGTCAGCTCGTTGGGGTTTGAGGGTGAGCTGAGGTGATGACGTAGATTGTTAGAAAGAGACTCACCAGCCTGTTGGTATGTTTGGACATCTATAAAACACAATCCATGCTCTCAATTTTCAAATATAATAAAAAAAAGTTAATTTTCTTGACAAAAATATGTTTGTCCAATCTTGATGTTCTTGACAATCTTGACATCATGCAAGGGGAAGATTGTACACATTTAAAACTGCGCTCTTTTGATCCAAAAACAATAAAATCTTTAAATACTGGTATGGTCTTCTGACCACAACAGTAAAATGAAGTGAGCCACGGACTTCTTCTGGAAATCACTGGCTCCTAGACGACGCCCCTGCATTGACCTCAACCTAGAGATCAAAACTAATATCCCACAAATACTGACATTCAAGGCAGGACAAAGGGCATCATGAATGACATTTAGCTCCTCTTCCAGTACTCTGTTGACTCTGCAACTTGAAGTTAAGTGGTTCTATGTCGTGTCCTGCTAGTAATCTAACCTTGCCATGAAACCACATAGCTGCTCCACATAGAAATAACTTAAACATTGTTGAGAGAGCTCCTGAAACGACCTTGAGTGTGCTTCAAATGGTGCTGTAATCAACAGACCAACCAGAGGACGTTATTGTGTCATTTTTTCAGGGTGAAGCAACCAATCCTTGTCTAACTCTCCAACCCCATCATTAAAAGCATTGTAGCATCATCCATCCAAGTTCGGCATGGCTCTGCCTCTTCCCATTCCATTGCCAGGCTGCAGCGTGGCATTCAAGTGAGTCAACTGCTTGTTGCCCGACATCAAAGACTTGTATGAGAGGTATCTTACTGTTTGACATCCTTCCGTGATGGATACTTCCTGTGCATCAGTCTACATGATGCACACAAAAACAATCCTGGACTACATGCTACTAGAATCCACATGAAATAAAAACTGACTGACTGTACCAGTCTTCTTCCAACTGGACATTAAGCTCAGTGCCAAATAGGACTTCATTATAGTGTCAGATGCTTGTGATTTTGGTTTTGTATTATGAATCAATTATTATTGTGTCCTTGAGGTATTGTGAGTATTTGCTACTGCTACAAACTATTTATTTGAGTGTAGGCTCGGAATGTCTTTATTCTTAGTCTTCTGTTTAACAGTGACAGGTCTGCATTACAGCAGAGAGAATGTAGAGCAGACGTGGGCTGTGTATCTCAGGCAGTATGTATTTGTCATATCTGTACTGTACTGTATATATGTACTTGGAAAGTAATATGGATCATGACACATAATGTGTAAGTACTCAGTGTGCGTATTGTACTGGTGTGCGCTTACATGGACATGGTAATGATTTGTGTGTGCGTTTCTTGTGTGTGTGTGATTCTGAAAGCAGAGGAGCAGTTGTAGCCCCTCCCTTTCAAAAAAAGACAAAACAACAACTGTTCGCCAACTGTGCTGAAACAGAAAGGGATGAACAACGCTCCTTTTCCTACTAATGAGCAGAGCAGAGTGACGGATTAAACTATGCAAAGGCTCACCCTAGAGTGGAACTATTTTTGCTTTCTTTAAATGTCACTAGGTACTATCGCTGTATCAACATTTTGACTTCAAAAGAGCACATCTTGATAGTAACTCAAATGCTGTTACAATAAAAAAAATGAAAGAAATAAAATCTATTAACTGAGAGAAAAAAGGCAGTGAGCCAAAAATATGAAAACTATTTCTGAGCATCGCACACAGATATTGAAGCTACAGTTGCTTCTAGTCAGACATCATTTGTGAATACCGGGTTTAAAGAGTGACTGAAATACAGCATACACACAGTGTGTGCTACTTCTTTACATTTAGTGAACATCTAGTTGTCTTCTTTGCATAGACAGAGTAAAGGTTATTTTTTTCTGGCATGTCTGACACCTTTATCAGGCAGTCAAGAGTGGAAAGTGACAGGTTACATGGGGAGAGAGGGAGGGGGCTTTGCCAGTCTGGCTTTGAATCTAGCAGGATTTCAGGACTACATGGTGTGCGCCACAGACATTTGTGTTGAGTAGCTTCGCTATGCCCCCACCTATGTAGCTATAACTTCACTACCAGTTAAGCTCTTGTTTTAATTTAAACTTTTGTCCTGAGGAAAACCAGGTATGGAATCAGTTTTTTTTTTTAAACCAAAATTAGGAGGATTTTATCACAGCACAATCATAACATGGAACCCCAGGAACAGCACACAGTCCATAAAAACAGTCAATGAGAAACCAGACTCACTGTAAACTGAAACAAGGTTCGCAGTGTCTACCTCTTAATGGAAACAATATGTGCCATTTCCAACAAGTAAAACATGAACACTTTCAAGTTGTCGCCCATTATACTGCTTCCACTCTTGTGTTATTGATGGGGCATTATCAATAGTGTCAACTAGTCAAGGAGCAGTGTGCCTTACAGTATACATTTGTTGAAAATAACACACAAGCTTATAGTGGAGAACCAGGGAAAGAAGACTGAGACAGAATTCAAAATCACCTTTTGGTAGAAAGTGCATCCGCTACAGCAGTCTTGTGCGGACAGTGGCCATTTTAATTTAGGTTGAAATAGAACAAAAAGCTCAGACAAGATCCCCAACTGCGTAGCTTGAGGCTAAAAATCCAAATAATATGACAGGTAATAGGCACAAGCATCTGGCTTCTCTGTCTGGGGAAAGAGCTACTCATGTTCAGTGATTCTAATTTGTCTAGAAGAAGCAGAAGAAGAAGAAGAAGAAGAAGAAGAAGATATACTTTATTGATCCCCTGGGGGAAATGATTCTTTTCACTCTTTATTTTTATTTAGAAGGCTGTAATAGTACAAATAGAGTACAACATTAAAATATTTAAGTTCTATTTCTCTGTATGTCATTTTGAAAGGATTTCTTGGAAAGACAGAAAAAGACAAAATGGTGCCTTTCTGTTTTTTTCATGTGGCCCCTCCAATAAACTGGTTTAGGTATATGGAGAGGAGAGAAGGACAGAGCATATTGGACAAATCAGTTACTTACCCATCACTTTGACGAAGTAGGCATCGGCTTCAAAATTGTTCTTCAAAGCATGGATGATCAAGTCTTTTTTGCCCTCTTTTTGGCTTAGAACCAGCATGTCTAATATACCCTGCAAAAGAAGACAAGGCATATAGATAAGGGACAATGGAAGCATGGTGCGTGTGTCTTCTGATGTACATTTTTATCCTTCTAACTTACTGGGCGACTGATCCAGCATTATCTTATCATCTCTATTCTTCCCACTTTCTCTTCCCCTCACTATGTCTCTCCTTCCCATTTATAAATTCTCTCTCAAGTGAGAGAGCGACAGAAAGAGAGTGTTGAATTTAAGGCCACATTAGCAGTAGTAATTCATTCTGATAAGACAAGCACATACAGTATATTGCAATGCAGCTACTGTACTATATGCAGTCTGTCGTCATGAGTGGGAGTGGGAGTGCGTGCAGGAATATGTGATCAGAACAAAAAGAAGGATTTTGACAAAGTACGACTGAGAAGCTTGTAAGTTTTGTAGAATGTAAGGATGCATACTTTTTTCCATCATCATTGTCACCATGGATAGAAATCCAGGTAGAAATAAGTGAAAATGACTTTCAGTGCAAAAATAGCACAATGTATAAAGGGTGTACAACAACAATAGTAGAGCATACGAAGAAAATAAATAATTGGGCTTTATCATGTAAATATGAAGCTGGGATAGGAGGACTAAAGCACACAAGCTACTTGTATGTGATTTAAACGGCATCACTGATTATAAACAAGCACTAAACTGAACACGACATTGTCCTGTCCTCAGTCCAATTCTGGAATATTACTTCTGAGCATGAAAGGAAAACCATAAACTTGAAACATTTTGTTGACGTCAGTGTTGAAAAAAGCTTTTCACATAATCCATTTTTCTGTATTAGAGAAATCAAATATTCTGGGCTCTGAGATTTATTCATCTTTCTTCTCCATTTGGCTTCAAGTTCTTTAATGCTGTAGAAATTCTCAGAAAGTGATGTCATTCCAATGCCGTATCTAACTATCTTATACCAGTATCATTGTAGACGTTAGTGGATTACTTGGATAGATGAAAGGAGGACATTTAGAGGAGAGACAGATGTAGTAGAACGTGTGGAGGAAGGAAAGGAAAAAGAATTAGAGAAAGGATGGCACTGTATGTTCTATGTAAGTCTTAAACAACAACTTAACACAAACTACTCACGTCCTCATAGATGTCAAAGAACGTTGCCATGACGGCATTTTGGATGGCTCCCAAATCTGATTGGTCCCAGTGGATGTGAAACATTCTTCCTACACTGTGGCAGCTGGCGCTGTTACAGGGTACGTTCTCCAACAGAAAGGCTTGCTGACCACTGGGAGGCAGAGAGAGAGAGAGAGAGAGAGAGAGAGAGAGAGAGAGAGAGAGAGAGAGAGAGAGAGAGAGAGAGAGGAAATGCATAATGCATGTTATCATTTGTATCTTAGATGGTGAAAGTGAAGAATTCTGATAGCTGTCAGACTGCTGATCAGTGTATCAGCTGAATCTTAGAGTGAACGCCGATGCCGACTCCGACTTAGGACGGCACGGGACGCACCGAACCAACTCGAGTCACCGACCTTGCCCAACTGTCCGACGATGGCCGATAATCGGGTTGGTGTGTCCGGGCCTTAAGGCAGGGCTCTGAATCACATAGAATCACTTCAAACAAAGAGCCACAAATAATAAAGTATAGTCAAAAGTAAATAAGACTATTTGTTACAATAAATAGTCCACAATCCATTAACAAAAGTGTCTCTGACTGAACTTTAAATGGTGACCTTGTGGAATTTACTTTTTATAACCAAATGACATTTATTATATTTCCGCTGCCAGTGTAGATAAAAACGGTTCAGCCCATTCTAAGGTAACAACAACACAACGATGCTTATACTATTCTATTATACACTAATGAAAACTTACCTATGAATATTATATTCATGGAGGGCCAATAGATTCTCTTAAATATTTCCTAATGGACCTTTAAATCTACTATTGTCAAACCATAATTAAAGTAGCTCAACCCACACCCTTCTATAACTATCACTATCAGGGTTTTATGCAAAAGGCCGTACTGAAACAGCCCTACTCAACACTCATCAGTGATCTAAAAGCATAGTGACTCTGTGGGGATTGGTTTCTAACTTTATCAGAGTCTTGGTTGTGACCACAAATTCAAATTCTGCAAACATATTTTTGTTGTCAGTTGTCAGTTTTATGGTGGATTTTACATTGTCAAAATAAGAGCTGCCTCAGGCTGGATCCCCAAGCATCTGTGATAGTACAATATCCACAGGCACTGCCCCCTTGCTCTACTGCACATATGTCTACTACTAATCAGGAAATAATTACCTTGTTACACATATAGGAGAACACACAATCTTGCTTGCACACATTTTGTAACAAGACACACAAAATATGTGCTTCTTGTCTACCAACAAGTAAAAAAATAAAATTCTGTTAATAATTTTCTGCTTGATTGGATATACAGCAAACTTATCATTGCTGTGACCACACACCCTGTATTCGGCCTTTTTTGCAGAAGCGGACAAGTGGAGAGTAATTTACGAGAGCTGAAATAAAACACAACTACTCTCTGGGACTCAATCTCACTTTTTCTCTACCTTTCTGTCTGTACTTTGTGTGCTCAGTCTTTGTCACCATCTCCCTTTGATTCTCTTGGGAGATTGAATCCCCCCCTTTCTCTATCTATGTGTCGTTCTGTCTTTGGAGACAGCTCTCTGTACCTGTTCTTAGATCTCCATGGGAGTGGCGACCGGAAAAAAAGAAAAAAAAAAAGAAAAAAAAGATCTGGTCTAAAAATAGACTAATTGTGAAAGCCCACCCTCTCTCAGGAGTTTTTTTCACCTCCACTCCCAATGTAAGTGTCTTGGGAGTGGAGGTGAAGGCAGACCACAAGCTAAGAGCCTGATGGGACATCTGTCATCCAGGATGCTTTAAAACTTGAAAGACCATGTGAGGCAGTGTTGGAAAAAGATAAAATGTGCCTTCCTTGCTGCAAAATATCTACCTGTCACAATGTCAAAAAGATTGCAATGCAAAGAGAGTAATGCTTGATAAAATGTTGACTGATTTTTTACTGTCATTAATACTATGCTGTCATCCATCCTGAAACTGTGATGACTTTGATTGGGTAAAATCCATACTTGTGGAGAAATGAATTGAAGTGATGTATGATCCACAGAGACAGATCAATGTATTGTCTTTACATGTCCCAACCCAACAACGTAGAGACAGAGACAAAAACAGAAAAGAAAATTCATGAAAACTGGGATAGAGATGCCGATAATGTCAAGTCTCTCAAACACACACACATACACCCACACCCATATGTACTATATAAAGCATTGGTTCTGTGTGATATTGAGGTAATAAATGTCAATGTTACACTAAAGCTGTCTTCAACCTAGCAATCCAAGTGGTCAAATTGGAACTTGAAATGTGCTCTGTAAGCCATTTGTTTGTATTGTATTTGTATCACTGCAGTTTTTTCCATAAAGTGTCTAATGGCTGCTTTGATTGCTGTTTTTCGAAAAGTACACAAGCTCTGGCAATCAGCAGCAGGCCCAGTTCATTGGTTCAGCTGAATTTTGGCAGTGCTGGACGGTTTGATGTGAGACCCTGTACTTCAGTGCATCAACCTTTGTGCACCAACACTGGGTTCTCATCGAAAATATTTTTATTGAAATTATGATGCATGGCAGAAGGAAAGCTACACAGAGAAGGCAAAGTTCAACCAAAGTTCTAAAATATTACGAACATTTTTAGCTTGAAATTATTATTTTGATTTATTTTAATAAATAATGTACAAAACAGCAATGGAAATTCAAATTATGAAGTAAGCCTGACTTTACTGGACTGGTCTGACCAAAACTGAATGGTATGTGTCACAGCCAGTACTTGGTGCATTACAGAATATCAATTGTCTTCAGACATCACAATAAATGCCCATAAAAAGATGAATTTAAAACAATAATCAAGCTTTGTATGATTTTTCTATTTTCTGGAAAGCTGATGAAGCTGCACCCAACTCAGGGAGACAAATTCAGTTTTTCTGTGGCAACATTTCAAATGCTCCTTTAAATTTTGTCTGACACATAGCTAGAATCAGCAGCTGGCATTGCAATATGAGCAGCAAGTGCACTCTGCAATATTCTGGTTATTGTACAAGTAGGTATGAGTTACAAATGCTCATTTAGTAGGTGAGGTCTGGATTCAGCTGCCAATATGACAAGCATTTGTATTTAAAACAGTGCAAAGTACGGGAACACACTGGAATTTAATTAATCCTTAAAAGCGGACACATAATGCTTGAGGCACACAGATTAAAATAGCGTCAATTCAGATGAAAACTTTCTCTGCAGACATGCTGCTGTTTCAGGCTGTCTGTCTCTTTATGTGTGCTGGGATGCAGTGAAGGGTGGAGCTGGGGGCTTGTGCTGGATTAACTGTCTTTGGCTTTGAATATATATATACTAGCTGGAGGTTTGGTTAAAGGTCATTCTGTGTAATCAATCAATACAGCATATGCACTAGACCCTTCCTCCCTTCTCATTAGGCTTAAACAGCACAGCACCCACAGAATATGACCGGTTATCACTAAGGACCTGCCACTGCAGCACCTATTGGTCAAAACACACTGCTAATGGTGAGCACTGATTGGCTCACTGGCAGATAATCAGGCTTCCAGCTGCAGGAAATGGTCGCATGGACAGCTCGTGTGAGTGTGTGTGTGCGTGCGTGCAGAGAGAATTGTGACTATTTCAAAGTTTCAGGCTGAACTTTAGGGGGCATTTGATTGTTATTCATCAATGTGTGTGTCCTTTCTGAGATTTTTGTACTTCAAAAGAACCGCTCTCCAGCACCGCAGGGGTGGTGATGGTGGAGATGAACTCAAGGTCATGGGGGGGATTCTCACACACACTCAAGCACACATACCTATAGAGAAAACAAAAACAACTTTCCTTCTCACATCTTTTAGTTTTGTGTTGACTGCTGCAGGTTTCACTGCAAACCACACACACACACACACACACACACACACAAAAACACACATATTCCAAGCCAATCCTAAAGAAGTGCACAATTTAATGGATCAAATTGGCTAAAATAAACCTGATAAAATGCAGAGCCTTTACCTCAACCCCAAACCGAACACTACCGACACATGGATTGGCAAAAAACGTGGATTGGTTAAACAGACGCTGACTAATCTCTTATTGGATCTTTCATCTCAGCTCTCTCTTTCTTGTTAGCACACAAGAAAATAACAAAAGACGAAGTCTGATGACGCGTTAGGATTCCATCACTGTTCATCACTTAAGAGGTTTTTGCCGTCTTTATCCGCAGAGGTCTTGTTTCTTTGATAACTCAAGATCCAGATGTCCAATGAAATTCTTCATCTGCTTAAAATGTAGTAAAAAAAAACAACCTAGATCTGAAAAGTGCTTCAGCAACAATGGATGCACAAAAGGGATATGACGCCATTGACAGACGACCGCTGAAAGGCTTCATTATGCGGAAATCTTATATACCTTTAAGCAACAGTGAGTAAAGTTAATTTTGTAAAACAATTCCTAAATTGGATTAATATTATGATGAAAAACATTTGACTTAAATGTGACTTTAAAAGCAAGAGCAATGTGCAGTTTCAGCCAGTGTCTGCACTAATGTCAGCGTGTGTGTGCCTGGGGGCTTCGATTATTGTATGAACCCGGTGTCAGCACTGATGTGTGTATTTGTGTGTATGTGTGTGTGTGCCCACGGGGAGTCTTCCACTGTTCCGAGCTCTACCCGCCTCCCCTCTAATTGGCCTCCAGAGGGGCAGTCGGCTGGCAGGAGGCTGACCAGCTGATCACGACGACGACCCTTCTCTCCCTCAACCTCAAACACTCCGAGAGGCCACTGCTACCTGTCCACCTTTACCGTTCCCCGTCTATCCATCCATCCATCCTTCCATCTCGCTTTCTCTCTACTCATCTCCCTCAAGCTGAGAGGCTACACTAACCTGCCACTTCTTCCTTGATGTCTCTCTCCTTTCCTTTCTTTCTCACTTCCTCTTATCCAGTCAGCTACTACCCCCCCCACCTCCATCCACCCATCCATCTGCCATTCTTCTGCATCTTCGCCTTTTTGCAAATCAACACCAAGGACTGTTAAAATGCCTTCTAGCCATGTGTTACTGCGGTGTGGGTGCATTTAATAATGCTCTTTACAGTTCTGATGATGGAAGCAAAAGACTCATCTCTCCTTTCCTTGACAAAATGACCTGACGCCCCTCTCTTAACTCCCTGCTCCATCTCTACTTCACAAGCC